CCATCCCTCAAAACACAGTACTGATGGCACCTCATCCAGGAAGCCTTCCTCCTTTCTCCTCCTGGCACATCTGTCTCCTCACACCTTCCTCTCTCTACCCCACCTCCTCAAGAGGGGACACAGATGAACAATGACACAAAATGAGCTTCCAAGGCATGAAGAAGCCCAACCAGTGCCCCACCTTCCTCCCCGAGAGGACTTCACCCTCCTTCTGACTCCGAATAAGTGTTCAGGTCCTCACCGACCAAGCTCAGTTATGCTCAGAAACACCCACCAGCCCATTCCCAGGGTCAGGACGCCACAGCAGCAGGCAGTGCTGGAACCCGTCAGCTCCGCCCCAGGCCCACCAGCCTGGAGAAATGCCATCGTTCCAAGGGCACAGTGGCTCACGGGGGCAGGGCGCATTTCTGGTGGCTTTCCCAGTTAGACAAGGGACAGGCCTTCCCTGATTTAACCCCCCATGACCTTTGAACTTCCTGGGAGGTCAGCAGCACGTCCCCCTTTCCCCAGCTGTCTCTCTGTCTCTGGCCCGATGGGAGGGAGGGCCCTGGGCCCGTTCCATTCTGCGCCCGTATTGATCTGCTGGCAGCAATGGGCTGGATAATTAGCCAGGAATTAGGGTTTCTATTACATCCAGGAGGCTGCTCCAGCTGATTTATCACCTGAATAATTCCCTGTGATTGAAAGGAAATTAAAATGAACTCCATTTGACAACTGTGAGCTTTTATGGGCTTTAGTGAAGGCTCAAAAGCCAGATTAATAGCCTGGTGTTGGTTAATAGTCTGCCGAGAGTAAATACGGCGGCTGTGCTCAGCAGTGCTCTGCCTGCGCGGCCGGAGGACGCACCAGCACCCGCAGCAGCGCCCTGGCCCCCAGCATCCAGGAGTCGCACTGACACAGAGTCCACTGGGCAGCGTGCACACACACCCGACCAGCAGTTGTCTCTCTCTCTCCCTCTCTCTCCCTCTCTCTCTCTCTCTCTGTGTCTCTCTCTCTTTCCTCCTCAAGGTGATTTTTACTCACTCCACATGTACAGAAAACCCGCATTGCTTTTTCAATAACTGTGTTGAAAAGGAAGTGTTTCATTGCTCCGGGAGTGTGTAGACATTAACCCCTTCCCCCAGGCCAAAAACTTTACCAAGTTTCCTTCTACAACAAGGATGCCTGGGCCCACCCCCCACACAGGTGCTGGGAAAGCAGCAAAGTGGGGGCAAGCTGTGAGCCCATGAAAGTGGGTGGCAGGCCCTGCGTCTGGCTGAGAAGAGAATGGACCTCCCATGTGGGTCAGGGTGGAGAGCTTTGGGGACAACCTGGCCACTCCAAGCAGGACTCTGAGGGCTCTAGAATGACAGGCCAACTCCAGCTGCAAAAAGCCACTTCTGAAATACAGCCAGAAAACTGACTCCTCCAGTGTCCAGGGACGTGGTGGCCCCCACAATCATCTCACACAAGATGAAGACAGAAGGCCCAGCTCTGTGGCTTCCACAAGCTCCAGAACTTCCCTGAGCCTGTAAACGGGGTGGACAACCTGAGAAAAGAACGCTCCAGTCTGTAAAATGGGGCTCACAGGTCTGCCCCTGCCTGCTGGGCTGGGATTCAAGTAGAGTCAATGAGACAATTGTGAAGATCGTAGAAAACTGTGTCGTATGGGTCATAGGCGAGATGTTATTGTTAGGTGGTTACTGTTGTTGTCATTATCAAAGTCATGATTACCACAACCACAGACATGGAAACTGAGACCCAGAGAAAAAGGGACTTATTCAGCAGGGCAGAGCCAGGACTCTAATCAAGCACCTCCATGCCAAGGCTAGTTAAGTACCCTATCTTCCCACCAGGCCGCTCTGTGAAGCTGGCAGCAAGGCCCCCCACCTAGGCTACCAAGGCACAGCCTCCAACAGCTCCATTTGCCACAGATGGAAGAGGCAGCCAGTCTCAGTGGCCAGCAGTGCCAGGCCCCCTTCTATGCCACTGCCATGACTCTCTGGAGCTCATGAGGCAAGGCCCATGGAACACTCATCTCACAGACAGGGAACTATGGGGCTCAAGGAACCAGTACCCTTGACTCACATCCCTTCCCAGCCTGCGGCCCCTTGCTCAGACTATCATTTGTCCAAAGTGATTGCAAATCGGGCGCCAGGGTATGTCATTCATAGTCCAGCAGCCCCACGGCCTCACCTCCCATCGCTCCTCATTATGGCGCATTACAGGGAAGTGAAGCAGATTAACCAGAAAACACTGAGTCAGTCATTATCCCGCCACACGGGTCATCTGCAGGCCCTGCCTCAGAGCCCACACAGTCAGAGACAGGCCCAAGTTGTCCTGAAGGACACTGGGCAGTGAGGCTTGAGGAAATGGAGTCCTCACATGGACTAATTCAGGTCCTCCTACCCCTCAGGCCTCTATCTCCACGTGGTCCTGTTGGACCTGCCCTTCAAGACCTCCATCAATGTGACCCTCCTACACGTTCCCGATGGAGACACTTCTTCCTCTCTGGCGGGACACTTCATTCAGGCCCCTCCAAACCTTCTCCCTCGTCTTGCAGGTTCTGAATCCACATCCTACAGTCCTCGAGAGACTGGGCAGAGCTGATGTCTGACTCAGACCTCAGTGCCTGGCCCCATGCCAGGTTCATGGCCAACATGCAAAAAAATATGTTGGCTAATGAGCTTATGAGCATCTGAGCAAGAGAGTGATAGATGGCTCCTAAGTTCCTCCCAGTTGTGGTGCCCTGGAGTCTCTGCCCAAGGCCGCTGAGTGGTACAGACTGTTAACACATGCAGCCACCAACCGGAAAGTTAGACGTTCGAGTCCACCAAGAGGTGCCCTGGAGAAAAGACCTGGTGGCATACGTCTGAAAAATCGGCCACCGAAAGCCCTATGGGAGCACTGCTCCACCCCGACACGAATGGGGCCTCCTCGCCTTGATGACCTCGGTTCCACACAGCAGTGCCAGTACTGGTCCCGGCAGTCTCCAGTGCAGTCTTTCCGAATTTCTAAGCTCCGTAAACTATGATGCAGAGTCTGGTTTCCCCGTGCTCAACATCCACGTTAAGGGGTGGAGGCCAGGCTGAGGGCATAGGGCCGGACGCGCTCTTCACCACTCACTTGTAAGTGACCTCAGACGAGCCCTGTCCCTTCTCTGGGCCTCTAAAAAATGACGGGGTTGAAAGTTCGTCTCTGCCGTCCTTGGTTTTATGATCTTGTCAATAATTAAAAGAGAAATTTTCTCCCAGATTCTGGGAGAAAGACAGGCTTCATCCAAGGAAATTTTTCTGGTTGAGTTCCCTCTCTTCTTCCTCCTGTGTGGAGAAGTGTGGCTGCAGCCACCTCTCTGAGCAGCGGGGAGAAGCTATTCATGGCAGGAACAGACTCTTCTCCCTAAAGCCCAGGATCGAGTGTGTTGGATCGCTCCGGCCAACACGTGTGGCCATGGGACGCCTGGCAGATCCTTCACTCGACTTTTAGGAGAAAGACCAAAGTCCTCTGCATGGTCTACAAGACCAGACCCACACCTAAGCATCCCCTACCACCCCCTCCCCCAGTTCCCTATACCACAGCCACACTCCCTGTCACCTCAGGGCCTTTGCACCTGCTGTTCCTCCACCAGGCATGCTCTCACTGCCCTCATGTCCCTTCTCCTGGTTCCACAACCCCTTCAGGGCTCTGTATAAAGACCTACCAAGGCTGGTCCACCCCTGTTTGATGCTTTCAGATCCAGACATGCCCTCCTCAGCACCAAGCATGCATGTAACCCACAACACTTCTGATTTATTATGACTCTTCTACTCAATGAAGATTTGTTCACTGAACACATGACTTGCTGCGTGGCCTTATGCAAGCCTCTTTTGCCTCTCTGGACCTCAGTTTCCCCATTTGGAAGCAAAGCAGTTAGGCAGTCCTTGAGGGCGCTCATAGGAACTGCTCTGACAGCCTGATCTTCACAGCACAGCGGCCCCCAAGACCTTGCTCACTCCCCTGGGCCCAAGCTCCCTTCCCTGGGAGCTGGTGCACACAGCCTACCTTGTTTCCAAAGGCTCTTTGGGAAGAGCTCAGAAACATGCCTTCCTCTCATCCATTAGCATTTAGGGGCAGCTCAGAGAGGCCAGTTCTCCCGGCCAGATGCCAGCTAGGATAGTGTTGAGCAAAGCTGCTGCTCACAGACCCTCTGACTTGCCAACAGTATGAGCTCCTGGCAAGCAGGAACCATGTCTGGGTCTTCCATGGCCGAGAGGTAACCAGCCCGGGGCCTGGCATCAACTGGCCACCAGGAAACACTCTCCTGAATTGAGTCTGGCACTTTAGGGGCCTTCTCCAGTCTCGGGGAGTCTCCCTCTGGCCAGAGCCTCTCTGATCACCCTGTCCACAGTCCCCAGCAGTGACTGTTCCTCTGGCCAACACAGAACAGGGCAGCTGTTCAACAAGGGGGGACCTTCCTGCTCCCCTCTCTGGCACAAAATCCAGGAGGGAGTTTGTTCAATGAGCTATGTTTCCATTTCCAAACTCTTGGGGTTAATCCTCTCAAAGCATGCCAGGGAAGCCTGACTAGAGGGACGGCAGCACCGTCAGAATGCTGCGATGGCTGGTGAGACCCAGGCCACATGGTGGTTACACACCTTCACCATCACCCTGAATGACTGGACAATGGCCCAAGACCACCTTAACTCCTTGGCTCAGGTGATCATTACAGCCTTCTGTCCAAAAAGCCCTGGGAAAGGGTACCATTCAGCAATGGCAGGGCGGCCAGAGAAGTCACACACTTCCTGTCTGGCCAGAGAAGCAGAGGCACTGAGGCCAAAAGCCGCCCAAGCGCCCAACAAATCCTCCTGATCCCGTGGGATACTGTGCTTTGCCAAGTTTAGCCAGGAACAACACAAAACCCACCTCTGAGGAGACCCTGCTGAGCTCTTGCCCATACCCTGTCAGACACCCTGCCTTGCAGAGAGTGACCTGGGCCTGCACTGTGGCGGTAGGTGTGGCGGGCAGGGCTTTGCGGGCTGTACCTGCTCAGGCTTGATGGGCTCCGTGGTGGTGAAGATGTCAGAGTAGTGCTGCCTCTCAAACACGCGGTCCAGCACCTCCAGCTGCTGCTGCGTGAACAGATCTCCCCGCATCTGCTTCCGGAGGAAATCTCTGCCTGGCAGAGAGTGGCCATTGGGGACCGGAGACTCCTGAAGACCTTTGAAGAGCGTGAGAGAGGAAGGGTGAGTGGAGCTTACATAAGTCACTGAAGAAAGACATACGAGACATTGGGAGAGACCCACAGGCCAGACCACTTCCTGATTAGAAGAGGGAGTGGAGTGAGGCTTAGACCAGGGTCACCTTGCCCAAGGTCACCCTGCTGGTGAGAGCACAGTCAACCTCCCACAGCCATGCGCCAGGCACTGTGTGCAGCCCTTCTCACATGCATTAATTATGACTTGAGAATTATCTTGCCTAACCCTTACAATGACCCCTCAAAGTAGGTGATACCACTTCCCCACCTTGCAGATGAGAAAATTGAGGCCAGGAGAGAGTAAGTGATTTGCTGAGGATTTGAGCTCAGGCGGTCTGAGCCCACACGCTACATCCTTAATCACCAGGTGTGTTGAATACTCTCCTTGGAGGTATAGATTGGTCCCACATCTGGTGCGACCATGTCATGTGTCCTGCTGATGAAACACTGTGCCAGGAAGGCTATAAACAGATACTCTTGGACAATTCTGGTGGGAGCATATGGGATATGCACCTTGGATAGACAATGTGGCAAAATCTATGCAACTCACAAATCCTTTTAATAGAACCACTGCATCTCTGGGAAGTACTGTACACCTAGATTTGCCCATGTGTTAAGTGACAGAGGTACAAGGAAGGGTATAATAGCAAAAGACTAGAAACACTCAAGAACTGGTTTGCAGGGCACTGGGTAAATAAAGTATGGTATGTCCACACAGTGGAATATTACACAGCAGTGAAAAACCATAATGAAGACATCCTTTGAGAATAGATATGAAAAGATCTTCAGGATATATTGTTATATGAAAAAACAAATACCAAGATGCAGCATAACATGTATATCCCACTTTGTGTGGAACAAGTGAAGACATCAAGTCTTTGTGTGTTCTGGAGGAGAACATAAGAACACTGACAGTGGTTCCCCACCAGGGGTGGAAAGAAGAAGACTCTCCCTTTTCATTTTGTTTTGTTTTAGAACTTGAAATAAATGCTCTAATCAAAACCTTAACTCAGAAAGCACAGGACACAATTCTCTGTGTTCTGTAGTGTGAGTTTTTCAAACTGCAACCATCACAGGCAATATTGCCGACATTCCTAAGCAAATATTATGAATTATCAATGGAAAAAGGAAATGAGATGAAATCTCTTCCTGAGATTTTGGGCTTGAGCTGTTCAAAATAAAGCAAGGGAAGTAAAAGTTTTGGATGCAGAAATGGCCTCAGGGGCACCATCATTCACAGGGTCAAGGTCATGTTCCTCACGTAGGGTTGACCAGAGACACTGTTGGAACCCAGAGCCAGAGGTGCGGCACCTGCCTTGGCCACCGGGAAAACCAGCACATGTCAGCTGCTGACAGGTGCCCCGACACGAGGCCTCACCCGACCCGCACACCACACACCGTTGCCCTGGTCTTCATCCCTCACGTCAAAACCCCATCTCTGTGAGGAATGAGAACAAACTCCTAAATGAGCAGCGGGGCACTGTGTCACTGAGACGCTGCCAAGTCGGTGATCCCCAACTGTCCTTTGTGGGGCAGTGACAACACAGAGCCTGGCATGGGAACAAAGACAGCTTTGGGTGCTCACGAGTGCTGGCCTGTTGAACAGTGCTGGCCTTTCAGGGCACCCCGTGGGTACTGACAGGCTCAGAGCTTGCTCTATGGGGGAGGGCCTTCCCAGGTAGCTGATGAGCTCCTGTGAAAATGGATCTCACCTCAGTTTTGGCCCAAGAGCATATGATAGGCTGGGCCACAGACTGAATGACCAGACATCCACCTCGTATGGGTGCAGGAGGGAGCTGGCCTGTGACAAGGGCCTCCCATGAGACAGGTCCCAGCTCCTCCCACAGAACATCATCCTTGGAGCCCCCTCCTCCCATGGCCCAGTCGCTCCTGCCAAAGCTGGACCTTGGCCTCAGTCCCCCTTGTTCCCGTCAGGTTTCTCCCAGTCAGAGAGACCACACCCACTTTCCAGAGACCTCCCCACATGCGCCAATTTCAGTTCTACTCCAAAGGCCCCAGCCCAAAACTAAAGATGTCTCATTCCTATCGCTGGCTCCTGACAACTGCCTCCAAGGTCTCACCTCATCCCACTAGGCCAGCCCTTCCCTCCTGCTGTTCCATCAGACAGGCCTCAACTCTGCCCTCAAGGCAGGCCCCTGCCCATCTGCCAGGCTGCTCTCCCACGGAGGTGCTGTGGCACAGCCATCCCCCAGCCATTCCCGGGCTGGGCTCTTTCCTCAGCTCAGAGCCCTGGGTGGGCAGAGCTTCACTTCCATAGAGGAAGCTCAAAGAAGGCAACAGGGCAGAGAGCTGCTCGTGGCAAGGTCACTGTCTGCTCGCTGAGCAGGGCCTGGCACTGAGTAAGGCTCTCAATGCATGGGTAGGGGTTCCTCGGAGACCCGTCCCCGAGGATACCACACGTGCTCTGAGCACTGGCAGCCTCAGGAAGAGGGCTGGCCCTGTCCCGCTCTGAAACAGCCACAGCACCTGTCCTCCGGGCCCCTAAGGAAGTCCAAGCTAAAGCTGGGTGGCAGGGAGTTCAAGGCGATGGGACCAGAACAACTAGGACAGAAAACAAGAATGCTGACACGTGAGAATGGAACCAATGTCACTGGCATTCTGTCTCGAAACTGTGGAATGCAGCAGGTCTTGCTGTGTGTATTTTGACCAGAAATAAAATAAAACATTGATTTTAAAAAGGAAAGAAAGGCCAGGCTGCCTTGGCGGTCCAGACATGCTCAGTGACGACGGGAGCCAGGAGAAGATGCCTTCCTGGTCATCCTCCCAACCATGACTGCTCTTGGTGCTCCCACCCAGCCAGCACCTCGACTTGCCCTCTTTACTAGGGACGGAGGTGAAGGCTACCCTCCCACATCGTACAGAAAATGGCTAAAGTCTGCCATTTCCTTAAGAATGTTTGGGACACTGAGGTGCCTCCTATGTGTATAACTGTTTATTCGTTGATCAAGTGCTTACTCTGTACCTGGTAATATTTTAAAAAACAAAAAGCCAAAGAATACGGACAGGCTGA